AGTCTTTAGATGGAGACCTGGGAGACGCGGTTCTAACAAGTGTTTATATACACTGTAGTTTGATGGTCGCTCCGGATGGGTGTCTGGGAGATGAAGTTCCAGCAGTGCTGAAGCATGCGGTCCTTTGATAGAATTTGTAGGTGTAGCGCAGGTTTCCCTGGGCAGATATATTTCTACTCCACTACTCATCAGCCTGGTGTGTGCTCATCCTCTGCTGGAGTCCATGTTCTATGCTCTGGTTAAACCCTGGTATGCATGGCGTCATCTCCTCCAGTACGTGTGTGTGTGTGTGTGTGTGTGTGTGTGTGTGTGTGTGTGTGTGTAGACTGGTACATCCCAAGTGATGGAGACCAGAGCAGGTTGAGGCCACAGTTCCAGCCCTGAGGTTCAGGGAATCTGGGCTGCTCTGTCTTGGCCTTCAGCTGGCTGGAAGAGATCCACCCTTGTGATAGGGCAATCTGCTCTATGCGGGCTCTACTCACTTACATCCGTATCTCACTCAGAAACACTCGCACAACACCCAGAATAACATCTGACCAAATATCTGGGTACCTTGGGCAAGCTACATTGGCACATTAAACTGGCTTTCACAGCCTCTAAAATATCATGTTTCCGACATTCATAAGCATATCTAGTCCTATGAAGAAGCATGTGCAGCTATGGACAGGCACAGAGCTTCACAAACAAGCCTGAGTTCTCTCCATCAATTAACTAGCTGGCGTGGAGTCTCCATTTTGTTACCTGTCTTAGACAAGAGTGTGCTTTGTGTCATTTTATAAACCTAAATCCTGTCTGTCTTCCTTGACAAAAGTGCGTTTTATAAGTTAAACTTCTCTTTTCCTTCTTCCCCTTCCTCCCTCTCCTCTTCTCTGCTCAACAGTATTTATTTGGCACTTAGCAGTTTTCTCAGGCACAGGGCAATGTGAAATTATGAAGACATTTCTGCAACCAGCTATGAGCTTAGACTCCAAGAGATGACATGGGTATGGATGTGTCCATCAGAGTTGGGGCCTCTGGCTGTCTCCCCTGCCTAAGCTTCCCACAGCACACGGGGCACTAACCTGCAGCCTGCAATAACGTTGGGGTGTCTCAAGAAACTCCTACCACACGGCTGTCCTACACAGAAGCGTCTGGTCTCTTCCTCCTGAAGTCAGGACCTTGGACCAAGAAGGCATAGTGTTCAGCCGCTGGCCCAGACCTCGGTCCAGTCAGTCTCTCCACGGCATGTGTGGGTGATCCGTGCACAGGGCGGTCAGAGAATACTTCTGACAGATGGATCAGGAAGGTTTTCCCATAGGATTCAGGGGAAATTGACAGCCTGGCTGCTGCACTGCTTTCTTGGGACAGTGTTGACGCTAGGTAGTCGGGAGAGAGAGGGATTGGACTCTTTCTGGGTCAGCCCTCCAGAGAGGCCCCGAGTGGCCCTCCTGGGGCTCAGGGGCAAGGTTCAAACGCACGTGAAGTGAGAACACCAGCCAAGGGTGCTGCCAAGAGGGGCAGCACCAGTTCACCCCCCACCCACTTCTGGAGGTGTCCTGGGCAGAGCCCTTCACCTCTCCAGGGCAGCCTTCTCTCTAGCATCTGAAGTGGATGAAAATCATCCCACTTTGGGGGCAGACTCTCAGCGTGGGGCTAGCCTGGCACAAGCTGAGTGTGGCTGCGTGTGTCCTTTCACTGGGTGGCGGGCTGCAGTGGAAGGAGCTGAAACTGGGGAGGGAGCTGCTTTGGGACAACTCTTGGCTCCCCGTGGGCACTGTAGGAGCAGCCTGTCATAGTAGGCTGTCCTGGGGACTATGTGAGCTCATGTATGAGAAACACCATAGCAGCAGCTAGTCATCATTGTAAAGGCAACAGTTGACATTTGTAACTGCCCTGCAACATACAAGCTTTGGGGTAGCCCCAGCACCTGGACTCTTACCCAGAGCCAGGTGGGTGCAGGTGGAGGGAGGAGCCGTGTTTGATCATGGCAATGACTTCTGGATGGTTCTGATCAGACCCTAGAGTCTCAAGAAGATTGTTAGGAAGTGCAGAAGTTAATGTGGCATGTTGCTAAGTCGATTTCTTTGAAAAGGTGTTCTCTCTTTCTGAGGTATGGCAGCTGAGGCGGTTGCCATGGTGACAGGTTGTCTGGTTAGCATATAGAGCAGTAGCAAAGATGGCTGGCCTGCAGTCGATGGCCGTGGAAGGTAAGCATCCACATCCCCCATCTGGAATGTTCTACTGGTGCATCTTCCTCCTTTGGGCTTGCGTTCCCCAAGCTGATGTTATTTTGTGCCTTGGGTGGTTAGGCAAGGTGGGGAAGCCGCTGTGTGCATTCAGGGCAGACAGCACACACAGCACCCAGTCATCTCCGAGGTAAAACAGAGAGTCCCCAGGTTCCTGTGAACGTTGACTGACGATCACATGCTGGGAGGGCATGGAGGGGAGGGGGTAGTTAGGAGTGCAAGCAGCAGAAAGGGAAGAGAGTATCCTGAGAAGATGCTGGAAAGAGCGCCCCGTGTTCATGGGGGCCGCTGGGAGCTCTATAGTAACTCACCAGAACCTCTGTGATGTGACCAGATGCCAGCTAACATCCTATAATGTGTTCAGTTCTGGGGGCCCCCAAACCTGTGGGGGACCATATTGTGGGGGCACATGGAGGAGGAGTTGGTTCCCCCTTTCATCTTGGAATCATTTGCCTTTCTTCTCACCTGCACTTGGCTCCTCACATGGAAAGAGAGAGAGAGAGAGGGAGAGAGAAGAGAGAGGGTGAGATGGAGGGAGGGAGAGAGACAGAGTCCTGGGAGAGGCGCTACATCAGCTTGTATCCATCTCCTCCAACTGTAGACAAAATGAGGACGAGGTCTGTCTTAGGGTTTCTATTGCTGTGAAGAGACACCATGACCATGACCACTCTTATAAAGAAAAACATTTAATTTGGTGGTGGTTTACAGTTCAGAGGTTTAGTCCATCATCATCGTGGTGGGGAGCATGGTGGCATGCAGGCAGACATGGTGCTGGAGAAGCAGCAGAAATTCCTACATCTTGCGAAGGCAATAGGAAGTTGACTGAGACACTGGGTGGTATCTCTAGCATAGGAGACCCCAAAGCCCGCCCCCACAGTAACATACTTCCTCCAACAAGACCACACCTACTCCAACAAAGTCACACCTCCTAGTAGTACCACTCCCTATGAGCTTATGGGGGCCAAATACACTCAAACTAACACATGTTCCTGCACAAGATGCCTGGGCACAGCCAGGATAACTAACCATAGAAGGCATCGCCAACTGTAGCTGTGACTCAATTCCATGGGATTTGGAAGATGACACCAAATTGTTCCTAGATCCTAAGATTGGCATCTGTTCATAGTATGCATCTGAGAGAGAGAGGGAGAGAGAGAGGAGAGGAGAGGAGTATGCATCTGAGAGAGAGAGAGAGAGAGAGAGAGAGAGAGAGAGAGAGAGAGAGAGAGAGAGGAGAGAGAGAGAGAGAGAGACTTACCTGCTATGGCACCACCTGGGTATAAATATTGTTCATTTATTTGTGTGTGTTTATGTGTTTGTATACGTGCGGGTGTGCATGTATGGGTGTTTACATGGGCTAGTATAGTGGTCAGAGGTCTGCACTAGGTACCTTCTTCAGTCACTTTCAACATTATTGTTATTGTTTTCCAAAGATTCTTTCATTTTTATGTATGTGCGTGCGTGCGTGCGTGCGTGCGTGCGTGCGTGCGTGCGTGTGTGTGTGTGTGTGTGTGTGGTTTGTTTGTGAATGTGTATGTAGATGCCCAACAGACTGGAAGAGGGGCATCAGATCCCCCAGAGTTGCAGTTAGAGGCTGTTGTGAACCGCTCAATGTGGGTGCTGGGAACAGAACTGCTGGGTCATCTCCAGCCCTTGTCCTTGTTTTGGGTGCAGGATCTCTCACTGAAGCTAGACTCACTAATTCGCCTGGGTCGTCTGCCCCACAACATGGGGATTACAGCTGCATGCCGCCTTGCCCAGATTTCCACATGGGTTCCAGGAGAACGAACTTAGGTTCTCATGTTGTGAGGCACGCAAGCACCTTACCAACCAAGCAGCCTCCCAGCTCCACGGCTCTTACCTTGTAGTGTAAACTACCATTCTTTTCTCCGAGCCTACACATCCATCTGTGGTTTCTCTTTCCTTTGGCCCGTACTGGATCATATTCTACGTACAGTTTGAAAACCTTCCCTACCTCATTTAGCAATCTCTTACAGCATTTCCTGTTAGCTGGAATTCGAATCCAGCATCTTTTACAGCTCCTGTGACCTCATCCTCCAGCACCTACACTCTGCAGAGCAGTCTCCTCCTCCATTCACATTTACACAGTGGTCTCCTCCTCCATCCACACTTACACATCGGTCTCCTCCTCCATTCACATTTACACAGCAGTCTCCTCCTTCATCCACACTTACACAGCGGTCTCCTCCATCCACACTTACACAGCGGTCTCCTCCATCCACACTTACACATCAATCTCCTCCCCCACCCACACTTACACATCGGTCTCCTCCTGCATTCACATTTACACAGTGGTCTCCTCCTCCATCCACACTTACACATCGGTCTCCTCCACCATTCACATTTACACAGCAGTCTCCTCCTTCATCCACACTTACACATTGATCTCCCCCCCATCCACACTTACACAGCAGTCTCCTCCATCCACACTTACACATCAATCTCTTCCCCTATCCACACTTACACAGCGGTCTCCTCCTCAGTGCTGGGCAGGTTTCTGCCACACTTTGCAGACTCTGGCAGTGCTGCTGTGGCTGATGTTCCGAGAGCCCCTGCCTTCTAAACTGGGCCATTAAGAGGATCCATGTGGACAAGGGTGGAGTCCACTTTAAAGAAATGTGTTCCTAGGTCTCCCTTCTGGCTGTCCATGGCCCTGGTGATTTTTTTTTAAATAGGCCCTGTCACTGTCCGGTAGACTGTTTTAGTTTGCTTTTCTGTGGATGTGATAAAACACCAGGACTAAAAGCCAGTTGAGGAGGAAAGAGTTTATTCCATCTCACAGCTCACGTTCCACCATTCGGGGAAGTCGGGGCAGGAACTGAAGGCAGGACCTGAAACAGAGGTCATGGAAGAGTGCTGATAACTGTCTTGCTCATCACGGCTCCCTCCACCTGTCTTTTTACACCATTCAGGACCATGGGTTCCAGGAGCATCCCCACCCCAATGGGTTTGGCCCTTCCTTATCAATCATCAACTCATCAAGAAAATGCTCCACATGAGCTTGTCCACAGATCAATTTAGTGAGGACATTTTTCTCAACTTACGTTTCCTCTTTTTAAATAACTCTAGCCTGTGTCAAGTTGACAAAAATCTAGCCAGGACAAGGACTTTCTTCTCCGATATCAGCCTGGACTCCCCTGGGCTGTCCACCCCATCCCTGCAGCACGCACGGTGAGTCTGCTTTTTTCTAGGTCCTGGGGCAGAGCTGCGCTTGTTTTCCTTTTCGTCACTGAGTTCCTGGTTCTAGATGTAAAGTTCCTCCCTGAAGAAGCCCTGTTCTCTAGTGACAGAGCTCCTGATCTCTCCAGGACGCTTGCTACAGAGTTGTAAGGAGCAAGCTGATGCCTTAGCTAGTGCCGCCAGCCATAGAGAGCCTGTTAGGACTTGGTCTTTGGCCTCAGAACCTATGCCTTTACTAACAGCTGGCTGTTCACCATGGAGCTGGGCTGCCTGCTACGCCATACCCTTGCCAGCTGGCCCTTGCCCGGTAGGAGGGCAGAAAGTGAGTGATTTATAACAAACAGAAACTCATCTCACAGTTCATGTGATTGGAAAGTTCAAGGTCAAGGGTTCGCGGAGAGCCTTGCGCTATCGCGACATGGTGGAGGATCACCGGACATTGTGTTTGTCAGAGGTAGAGGGATGGATGGATACATACATAAAAATAGATGAGAGACAGACAAACTTAACGCTGGCTCACCGAACCATTCCGTGCCCTCGACCTGCTGACTTCTCAAAGCTTCCTCTGAACACAGTTGTATTGGGAATTGAGTTCGCAACACAGGAATGTTGGCGTACATCCAAGTCGTTACAGCCTGTGTGAGGTTGCACCATCCGTTCCTAACGCACCCATCGGGACTCAGCAGGTCACAGAGCACACCGCTCTACCTGGACACACTGGGTTTGCATGACAGTACACGACAGGTCACACCGGGCTACCTGTGGCCAGAAAGAAAATTCTCACGGTTCAGCGGCTTGCACCTGCTCTGCAGGTTTAGCAGAGTCCCCAGTCCCAGGAAAGACCCACAGTAACCATACGCACAGTGCTGATGTGTATATTTATCATGTGCTTGCTTAATATTATTACCATAACAGTAATTCTTGTTATTTTATCTTATGGCTGAGCCATGTTGAGATGTCAAAGCTGTGCATGTTTAACGTATGCAATTTGACCTTTGAAGAGAACTATTAATCTGTGATTAATTATTATATATATATAATGTTTCTTGACTGTATCTACCCCGATTTCTCCATCCTATCCCCTTGACACCTCTCCGCCAACACATCCCCTTCTCATTTTCACGTTTCTGACCCTTTGTAACCCTCAAGTCTGGTCTGTGCTGCCTACTAGACTACTGACTTGTCACGTTGACTTGATATTTCCCAGGGCTCGTGCAGGTAAACGTAGCTACAGCGAGTGAGTTCCAGGAGTGCAATGGTTGTGCTGGCGATTGTTGTTTTTTGTTTGTTTTCTCTTTTCCTCTTGACACAAGCCAGAACTGTCTGGAAAGAAGGAACAGTCTATGGGATGTTTTCTTGATTAATGGTTGATGTGGGCAGTGCCATTCCTGGGCCGGTGGTCCTGGGTTCTGTAAGAAAGCAGGCTGAGCAAGCCAGGGGGAGCAAGCCAGTAAGCAGTACCCCTCCATGGCCTCTGCGTCAGCTCCTGCCTCCAGGATCTGGCTTGAATATCTGCCGTGACTTTCCTCAACGGTAGATAATGATGGAGAAGTGTAAGCCGAATAAATCCTTTCCTCCTCAAGCTGCTTTTGGTCATGATCTTTATCCCAGCACTAGCGAGCAGAGTAGGACAGTGGCCACGTCGGAGTCCAGAAGAGCAAAATTTACACCGCCAGTATTCGTCTCCAGGCGCTTTAGTAAAGCTGGGGAAATGGATGATGTGGTCCAACTCGGAGAAGGAGAGTAGAGTGGTAGGTGCCTGGGGCTGAGAAGAGAGAGAACCAGTGTGGGGGAGGAGTGCGGTGAGTGGGGGGTGGGAGGGGTAGAGGGAGGGTCTGGTCAGGGGCTCAGGAGAGGGGCAGGCAGGTGGTGGTGGTGGTGGGGGGTAGTGCTTGTCAAAGTTTTAGCCATAAAAGATGAATAGGTCCTAGATGTCTATGGCACCTGTAATCATCAGAACCCCGCCACATACTTAAAATTTGACTAACAAGGTAGTTTGACACTAGATGCCTTTATATCAAAAGGTTATAATATAATACGCAGTGCCATATGTTAATAGTGAATTGATTGCTCATTTCACTGCTGCGACAAAATGTCCGAGAGCGTGTTAAGTAAGGAAAGCTTATACTGGCCCACAGTCTGAGGCTGCCGTCCATCGTGGCGGGAAAAGAGAGGAAGCAGGACCATGACGCCCTCCAGGTTCCTCAGTGTTGTCCCGAGGGACAAGAGGCTTTCTCTCTTTTCAAAGCTTTAAAAAAAAAACCCAGTTCTTGTATTGTGTATGCGTGTGTGTCTGTGTGTTTGTGTCTGTGTGTGTGTGTGTGACCACTGGAATTGAAGAGTTTTTAGGTGGACACAGGAAAATGGATGGCTGATGCCTCATTATAGCTGCACTTAGGGGATTTCAGAAACCCTACCCTCCTCTCACCCTGTTATAGGGCAAGGGAGCCCATGAAGAGACGGGCAAGGCTTGACTGTGGTTCCTGACGTGCTGGAGGCGGGGCTGACCCCCGCATAGTTGCCTGTGCTGGCTGGCTGGACTCGTGGCCACACCAACCTCTGCTACCTTCTGTTCTCCTAACAACGGTCATCGGCAGCGGTTGGCAAATGCTTTGGCTGCCTGTGCGTATAATTCGGACATTGTCCTATTGAGCAAACACAGTTCCCCAGTGTCTTTGTCCAGAAGCTTCTTATCGTCTTTCCGGTTCCTTAATCTCATCAGGGAGCTTTGTGCAGAGGGAAGAGGAAGGCGGCTAGAGCCTCCCGCCACCTGCTCTTGTGACTTAGCCCAGATCCCTTTGGATAACCCGTCTGTGGAAGGAGTGAGGCTCCTTCTGGCTTCAGGTTTCTGAGGATAACGTGAGATGGTGTGTGTGCAGTTCCGGGCACATGCTGAACTCTGCACCATCAGGACCCAGGCCACCTTCTTCCTCCTCTCTCGCCCATTCTTGCCTCTGAACTGCTTTCTCTCTTCCTCCCCTTCCACCTTTGACCAACGTGTCCTCCATTCCCCTGACCTACACTCATCTCCTTGGCTCCCAACCTTGGAAATAAGAGTGAGCCATGTCGACGCAGGTCATGAGATGTAAAAGGAGTCTGGGATGGAGCTAGGTTCATTACAATTTGAAAATGACTCTGTCTCCCGAGATCCGGGACAGGCACCCAAACTACACAGAGAAACCCTGTCTTGGAAAAAAAAAAAAAAGAAAGAAAAAGAAAAAAAAAGAAAAGAAAATGACCAGCGTCACTGATGATGATGTGTGGCGTGGACAGCACCCATTTGAATAAACCTGACCGGAGTTCTCCACTGGAAAGGCCTTGCTGGGGAGAGGCTGTGGCTGTCCGGCCACTCCGCTGCCCCTGGGCATACACGGCATGTGCTCAGGCTCTGGAAGACACGGCCTGGTTTTCGCTCACACTTCCACGTGAGTCACCCGTGTCCATGCTGTCACTCTTCGCAAAAGTTCCTCTGGGAGGCTTGGGTTGAAACAGCTGGCACTGCTCCCGGCTGCCTCTTTCATGTGACGCCTGCCTCCGACATCCTCTCTCTCTCTCTCTCTCTCTCTCTCTCTCTCTCTCTCTCTCTCCCTCTCGGTTCGGGGTGTGTCTCCACAGGTGTCTTTCCACCTGGGGAGAGTCCCTTCCAAGCTCTCTGCAAGGAGCCCCGGTGCCCATTTTTGTGGGGCATGCTGGTGTGGCCCTGGCGGGCAGTCCGGAAGACCTCCACTTTGTGCCACAGACACCACGATGCCTGCGGTGTGAGCTGTCTTGTTCCACAGCACCCACAACTGGGGAGTGTCTGGGCTTAGAGCCCAGCTGAGCTGTGGCTGGGACTCTGGGACTGTGGCCTCAGCACCTTGCCCAGCACCCGTGATAATGTTGAAGGTGACAGCTGTAGACCATCTGAGGCAGCTCCAGGGGAAACACAGGTGCTTGGAGACCACATGCCCCCCTGCCCCCCGCCCCCCATGCTCTCCCAGCCTGCACGTCTATTGCAGTGGTCTCCTCCTCTGGCTCATCGGACCTCACTCAGGGAGCTGCAGCCAGGAGGAGCTGCCTGTTTAAGCTTTTCTGGTTTCCTGGGCATGGTGTCCTCTGAGGGCAGGGGCCATGTGGTGTTGGGTGGCTGAAGATCCAGACGGTCATGGATGGTCTGTGAGACGGTGGGTGACAGCCTCCTGCAGAGATGAGCGCATTAGGACATGCCTGCAAGAGTGCTTCCTTGCCGGCTTGGTCCTGACACTGAACTGCAAAGGCCATATCATTGTCTATTCATAACTGAGGAAATGGGGGCACAGGGCTGCTCCTAGGTGAGAAAGCCAGCACCTAAACTCTGTCGCCTCTGGGATCTGACCTTATCCACCGCGTTGTACGGCAGTGTGCCAAACACAGATAGCAAGGGTAGGCCTGGGATGTGTAGAGTGCTTGCCTAGCGTGCATGGAGCCCTGGGTTCTAGGCCCAGTGCTGCATAAACTGGGTGCGGTGGTGCATGCCCCGAATCTCAGTGTGCAGGAGGTTGAGGCAGAAGGATTGCCAGGAGTTTGAGTTCAGCCTGGGCTATAGAATGAGACATTCAAACAGAAAAAAAGGAAAGAAAAAAAAGAAAGAAAGAAAAGAAAAAGAATGAATGAAACCTATTTACCTTTCAGATGTTATTAAATGAAGAGGGAAAACTGATAAAAATGCTTTTTTATGTGTGTGTGTGTGTGTGTGGGGCTGCTCTGGATCCCCCAAAAGGCTGAGATTGTTCTTCTAAAACCACAGTCAATATATGGATGCATTAACATCATAAAGGGCTTGGCTTTTCATGGCCCAAGAGGAACGGCTCCTGAGGCATGAATTTAATCTCACGTGTCTGGATCTCACTGGTCCTCTCAAAAGGACAGGGTTCCTGTACCTAGATTGTTCCATGTGGTGTTGGAACTCGAGCTCAGGGGTGAGTGTGGCCTGTGGTCCTGAAGGCTGCCCCAGCCTCCATCTCTCCATCCCAACCTGTGTCTTGGTGCTTATTGTGACTGCTCGGGCCTTCACGAGCCCCGCGCTGCACCAGCCACCAGAAGAGCACATGGTCCTCTGTCTGTGTCTGACCCTCTGCTATGAGGGTTCTGCAGGGGAACTCTGATTACCTAGGAGTGGATTTTCAAGTATCCTCCATGGAGATCTGCCCTCTGCCTCGCTCTGATAGTTAGGACTCTGAGAGCTTTCCATAGAAAGCAATCATTTTAGAGTTGAGATGGCCTCCCCAGCTCAGCAGACGCCTTCATTTTATAGAAATGTTTTCAGGGAGTAT